ATGGAAGATGACGTTTCAGTGTCATCCCGATCTCCCGCAGGCTATGGGATGCAGAGTCACTAGCTATTCGCAGCCCAGACCTCCTGTCGTCCTAAATTGTCGTCGCTAGCTCATTCGCGTCATGAGCACCTCATACCCTCGTGCAAAGTTCCTCGACAGGCGTAGACGGCGACGCCGCCCGGTCTGACGATAGCTTCCTTTTTTTTGATGTTGCGAAGCATTCTCTTTACAAAGACGGTAATTGTAGAGCCCCGCGGGAAGGATCAGTGGGAGATCCACGTGGACACTTGCGAGGAGCTCAAACTTGCAGCGGATATAGTGCGTCTTGGGCAAACATGAGGCTAAGCTATTGCCAATTGCACTGGTTTCCCTGTTACAGCGAAAGCGACATTCAACACAATTGCAACTCAGGAAGGACGTCACAGAGACGTGGAGTGCTTTTGTGCAGACTTTCGACACTGAACAAGCGGCTGGCCCGGTGCTCAGCGAACTGCTTGGTCGCCCCGGCGATGATTCTGCACAACCCTTGTAACCCGAACACACGTGCAATTTGTCCAAAAGCACAAACACCTGAGTTTCGAAGTACTGTCCCCTGTTGCTTTAGACGTGAGGCGACACTACTCGTAGGTTTTCATGGCATTTCGCCAATCCTCAACAGCTAATGTAAAGCTGATTTCGCAGTCATTCGAAACCCCCATGCTAGCCCTGGGATGCGGGAAACATCCTGGCCATGCTGGAGGCGACAGGAATATGAGGATCTTGTAGGAGTCTTATTGCCAGTCTAAAGCGTAGAATCCTTGCCTGAATCATTCTAATGGCCGGATCCGTAAAACAGCCTAGACAGTAGGAGTTTTCTAAGGCTCTAAGACGCAAATCTTGCTCCACCAAAGGTGAAGCTGCGTTCAGCGCCATTTTTGATGCTGCGCCTTCCTTGCAGTCGCTTTTTCATGGGCCTCGTGCTGTTCAGGCACAGAAGCTCCCAGGTTGCATTCAGCTTAACAAATTCCCATGTCATTTAGTAAGGGAGCCGCCCGAAAAGAGCAGCGGTTCGTGATAATACTAAGAGATTACGGGCCACAAAGTACTTACAACCTCAAAGGTAAGTGTCTTACTATGCCGATTGTGCCCTATGATCCTTTAACCGAGGACCCAGAAATTTCAATTGTCGTCGCGTCTTGCAGCTTTTGATGAGGTTGTGGATTACAATCTGTTGGTGGAGTTGTGTTTTTGTGTCGTTGTTTGCTGGCTGGCTTCCTGGCTTCTCGGCTTTTCGGAATTTGCGATTTTGCAAAGCGTGCTGTACTCAACGGGTACTGTGTTCAACAAGGGATCGCTTTTGGTTTTGCCATTGTCCAATGTCTTTCACTGGCATGTTCCTGCCTGCTCCGCATGCTTTAGCGAGGTCAAACTACGCAAAACCGCGTAACCACCTTGAAAAAAGGCCAGGTCGAACCACACCTTTAAACACTTTTTAGAGGGTGACCCCATCAAGCCGCGCATCCGCGGCAGTAACTGCAGCCAAGCCCAGCCACATGCTCGCGCACAAGCCTGCCCAAACCCACGCCCAACAGATATCAAATCATTTCTGGAGCCTTGTGGGATTGAGTTTTGTGAACACAGGACAGCAAGTCGCTAGGATCACTAGGACATGGAAAGTCTTTTCAACAGCAGCAGTAGTTGAAAGGCTTGCCCTGAGCAATCAGGTTCGTGCTGAGCCTTGGCAACATCATAAGCCACCTCGACAATCCAGCTGCCTTGAAAGTAGAGGCCGGGACCCCAGATTTGAGGGAAGGTCTGGCAAGAATTGTCAACATTTATCGATCTTGATCGTGACTCCTACTGCACCAAGGTTGAAACTCTAGGGTTTGCCCATCTGAGCGTGGACATCACAATTCCAAGAATTGCGCTGTTCCGAGATGCAATCCTCGATTTGTTTGAAGTTGAGCTTGGCGATGCGTTCACCCCCACAGCAAGGGACGGATGGGGCCAGTTGCTCTCGTATGTGGGGGGCTCGCAGATATGGATTCGGACCCATTTCTCTGCCCGGTTAAAGGTTCTGCAAGAGAGCTGGAAAGCCGCCAACAATCGTGAGAATCCTCAGGTTTCTGACGCTGAACGCCAGAAGATGTTAAAACAGACCAAAAAGGATCACAAGAAGAACGAGATTGAGATCGATCCTGAAGTTGCGAGCACAGACAGTCCGGACAGCTCGGAAAGCAGCTTCTCGGGCAACACTGGTCACACTGTCCTGGGAACTGGCAACAGTACGAAGGTTATCTCAGACAGGCGACGGTGCGGGAACTGTTTGGGCACTTTGCTGAATTGCTGCAAATGCTGCAGCTTCGGGAAAGAAGCGAACCAGAAGGAAAAGCAGGATGACGGCATGAGGAAAGAGAAAAGGGATCCCAAGCCAAAAGACACTCAGAAGTCGGGCAAGTCCCAGCTGCAAGCGGCAGACGTCCCGAGAACTTTTACAGAAATGTTCCAATGGAATTGCGCCGTGATGGGCTTATCTGGACGGAGGTGGATGCAGGAGATACTATCAAGCTTTACTTCAATGGTAGAGCATATTGCGGACATGAGACGCCTGCAGCAGGAGTGCAATATCGTCTCAATCCGTATTGCAAAGGTGACAGCAGCCGGTGTGAACTGGGTGAACCTGTCCGAGTTCAAGTCCTGCATGCTGGCTGCTTTGCGGTCCCTCCTCCCTACGGTTTGGGATACAACGCACGAAGTCGCTTGGAATTGGCTGTGGGACAACATAGAGACAATCCTGAAGTCCACCATGGGCAAGCCTCTGGCCTGGGAGCAGTCACTTGTGGGGATGTTTGCAGCTTTGAGCGATGAGCAGCTCTTCAATTATCGTGTCCAGCTTTATGAGAGATTCTTCGCGGCCGTGCCGGCGGGTCAGGACTACTTTAAGCAGTCCAATACGCGCTTGCACTTCATTGCAGAAAGCGCCACCAACATGTCTCTGAAGCTCCTGCAAGATCCGTGGCGGATGGTCGATGATGTCTCTGCACTGGGGCTTCGTCACGTCGGCTATGGCATACCGACCGAGATGTTTGGACCTTTTACCGAAGCGGCGGTGGACGCCCTGAGAGGGCACGTCGATGAGACGTTGGCCCTGGAAGCTTTCAATTGGTCCCTGTCTATCATCTCCCAGATGCTTGTGCATACTGTAACAGAAGGCTCCACGATTGTAATGAAGGCGATCAACAACAACTCCGTGTCCCAACTGGTCAAAGCAGTGAGTTGCGCCCCTCGTGGGGAACGCTCCAACTGGGTCTTGATTGTTAAGGTCGGAACACAGGACATCTCGCCCTTCAGATGGGCCATCGAAAGTGGTAGCTTGAGTGCAGCAAAGGCCATCATTGAAGACTTGTTAGCTATCAGAGCAGATCGGCAAAGATACTATTATGGTGTCGATGACTTGTTTCAGCGCCATCCGGACATCATCAAGATCCTCTGCTCCGAAGCGCCCATGCTGCTGCCGACGCTGCTGGAAGGCTTAATTTGGCGGTCGAGAATAGTCACCCAGGGAGCACGCCGAGTGAACTACTACGTCAAGAACCTTGTTGTTTCTGGCTCTGACGGAGCATTTGCTGGCGCTTTGCCTGCCCTGGTTGCATTGGGCGATCCCAAGATCATTTCTCACGTCGCAGTTGACCTCGTTGCGAATCTGCTGTGGTCGGGCATTGTCATGCATGAGTTTATTACCTCGAAGCTGTGGTTCATTGCCAGCCTTGTCATTCTCATGGTTAGCCAGACACTTCTGCCAGAGTACCGTGAATCTTTCGAAGTTCGGGTGGTGACTTTCGTATGCCGGGTCCTGACCTATGTGCTAACATTGCTACGGCTGCTGGTGCAGCACTCGCGGGACATTTTCCTGGCGTACTACCGGAAACAGACGGTCCGGATATTCAAAGTACCGTTTCCAAAGTATCTCACCAAAACATACGACCTAGTGCCATGCCTGCACTTTCAAAGACGCTTTGGTTTTCACTGTTTCTTGGTGTGTACACTGCAGACATTCTACGATGAAAACCGTTGATGGTAGTGCTAGACGGGTCAACAGCTGTAATCAGAATCTGTATACGATGCGAGATGATGCGAGTGTGCAGCTCAGCGCTCAAGCCAGGCCAGCTTCCTGCTGCTGATCTGTTTGATTCTGATGTGGGCCAACGAGCCGTTCATCTGGTGCTACGATGCACATGAAGCTCAGATCAGAACAGCTCGCGATAAGCCTTGCTAGGCCTGTCCTTTCGTACAAAGAGGAGCGGAACTCTGTTCTTGTTGGCTTATGCCCAGTTTCGGCATGTCAACTTGAGGATTGGCCGACGGAGTATTGCTTGACCTTCGAGGACGGCGGTTTCATATACTCCGTGTTGCCTGAACTTAAAAAAGCACGGCTTTCATCCGTGGTGCTGGGAGAAGACAAGTCCGGATAAAGATAGCAACAAAGGAACCGAACCTGACAACTGCTCCGAGGTTTGCCATGTGTGCCGTGGGACTGCACTGGGGCTTGATGGCGGATCTTGCAGTGTTCTCAACAGGCCGCTACCGGGGGGGGGGGGGAAGCAGCTTTGCATAGGCTTAGTTGTTGCGAAGAATGAACGGCCTAACCCCCAGCTTCACGTCTTGCGGGTCCTAATGCAAGCAACTCTAAGTGCCAACCATTGAACAACTGGGTAAGCTATGCAGCATCTACTGATGCAGTGCTGTCGTGGAAGGTCTCAGCGCCTTTGTGCTGGTATGCGTGCATGTCGGCTCCGAAATCGGAAGATTCATGTTTGCCTTGATGCTGCTTGACTTTGCTTAGCTTCGCAGTTGCTTTGTTCATATCTGTGTTTAACTGGCTTTTGGCTGTCATGCCCTCCAAGGTTTCTACTCACAGCATTTGCATCGTCAATCACGGTGCTTGAACATCACTATGAGGACATGAAGACGGTGGGCGACAGCTTGATTGCCCTGACAGGAATCACGCTACGATTGTACGAGGATGATTATCGGGACTTGCAGAACGATGCATTGCTGCTAACCGCTGTTTTTTGTTTTGTCACAGCTTCTGCCATTCTCTTGCTGAACCTCCTTATTGCTCAGCTGAATTGCTCCTATGTCTACATTTATCAGAACATGCTTGGCTATGCGAAGCTCAAGCGCTCTTCGGTGACGGTTCAGACATTGGCATTTCTCAAGATGGAGCGCTGGAGCCGATTCGTTGCTACTTTGGGCTTGGACGTCCCACTCGAGTTCAACGAGGGAGATGTGGGCATGGCTGGAGGGATTTGTGCACCTTGGCATACTCCTCATACGGTAGCAGTAGCAGTCTTCGAGTGTCCATACCAAAACGGCTTAACCTGAGAGTTTCGGAATTTCTGGGCCCCTGCCCAGGTGTTTGAGCCGCCGAGTCAAAGCATCGTTGCAACGGACCGGATCCTGCGCTTCGGCGGCTCTTGCTCGCCGGATTTAGAGTGGCCAGCAGACACGACCAAAACCGGCATGGATGCTGACGAGGTGGGGGCGAATGTTTCGATTCGAACCTCAAATTCCGCCAAACCATTGGAGTAGTTGTTCATTGATTTTGCTTGGTTTCTGTTTCCCATGCGATATGTTGTCAGGAGCAGTTGGAGGCTCTGGAGCAACTCCTGAATTCTACGCTTCACCAGTTGCGCAAAAGCAAGAGGGGCGAGCATGGTTCTGGATTCAATGCTTCCAGCCAAACTCCTGAGTCCGGAAAGGGCTACAGTGGTTATAGTGGTGTCAGTGGCGTCAGTGCCCTCTCATCCGACTGAACGCGAGGATGAGAGCCCGAATCTTCCGGAAGCCTCCAAATACCAAACGTGTCAGACTCGCTTTGTGTGCATACAGTCCGGCTATTCATCCCAAACTTCCAGTAGTTAGGATTCTCTCAAAAGCAGAGGATCCGCGAAAATGCGTAAACTCAAAGGGCTAAGCCCGACGAAAGGTGATCCAGTTCATTCCTCGCCACTGCCCACGGCTTGGTGTTACGCCTAGGACATTCCAGAACCAAACACACAAGAATCTGGTGTCTTACAACAAAGGATAAGAAGGTATAACAAGACTGGTCAGATGAGGCCGTGGGTCGGGTTGTGTTGCACGCTTTTCAATCTTCCTCGTCCCGACAGCTATGACTCTACAAGGATAAGCACTCCTAGGATCGTCCGTTGGACACGTCGGGAAGATGACACTACGCACAGATGTTGCAGCCCGCAACACAGAGTTTTTTCGGCTAGCAGGACATTGCCGCACATGTAGATGCCTTATGTGACTTCATCACTTCCACGATTCACATTATGAATTCTCGCCCGCCTGAGCCTTGCATGGCTAGCACGTCAGTCATGTCACCTTCTTGCGTTGCGGCATTTGCCAACGGCATGCATGTTGAAGGCATATCGTTGCTAGTATCTTGACGTCTCACAGCGTGACGCGAATCTGGTCTCACATCAGACGGTTCATGGATCACAATGCTAACGAAAAAGCTGTAGCAGGGCCGCAGATGTGTCTCAGGGTGAGCTGCAGCTTGAGTGCGAGCATGAACCACAGGCGATTCTCATTGCTCTTGGCATCGTCGAGCACTACGTTTTGGAGCCACCACCTCAGCGCACAAGAAAGCCGAAACAGGCCCTTTCATAACCCCAGCGCCTTACGCCGGCCTTTCCTTGGACTGGTCAGCATTGCCTGGTTGTGTGGCACTGGAAGCCCTTAAGTACAAACGGGCCAAACAGGATAGCAGATGATAGCACGCTGTAAGCCAAGGCCGCCAGGCTGAAGCTCGGGATCAGAAGAACCCCGGCTGGCAGGATGCGCTGAATGCCGCTTGGGGAGGTTTCACCCTTCATAACAAGAGGCTGCAGCAGCAGAGATTGTTTGCAGCAGACTAGCTTGTTACGCATGTTGCTTCAGCCTACAACAGGCCGAGAAGCAACAGACTCATGCCGGGTATGCCGCTAAGTGGCGGCTCGGAAGAAGCATCGATAAGCGTTGGCAGGCTGCTGTCGCGCGGCATGCTGGAGTGGTGCACGAACACGCTATCCTGCATAGCCTGCAGTGATGTTGGCTTGATTCAGAGCCAGTTTAATCTATGATGTTGCTCAGGCCCAGTGTCAGATGCGCAAGAAGTCATCAGAGCTTGGAGCGAAACAGAGCATTCTCAGATTTTGAGGCTTTACACCTTGTAGAGGCCTGTAGTTTGCCAGCTGGTTTCAGTGGCAGAACTGCTGCCACCTGCAGGCGAGCCTGCAGGAATCAGTGCATCTGACGAGGTGCTGCCTGCGCAATGCCCTTGCTGTAGATGCTGTCAGGAACGATTTTCCCAGTGCTCTTGGTCGGCCATGAGCAAAATCAATCATTAGAACTTCCGTTCGTGCCAGAGAAGGTTCAGCATTGCAGTCTCCAAAAAGGCCTGTTGCTGCTTTTTAGCCAGGTGTTGGCTCGAGCTTTAATTCTGCGAGTGACTTCATGATGGACTGCTGAGCAGAAGCAGCCGTCGACTCCTTGCTGAGGGATGGTGATCGAAGGTCAGGCTAGCCTTTACACTTTTACGGGCTCCACATTTTGCATAGTGTGCCTTAGGCCTTGATCCCTGAAGGTCCCTTGAAAGACAAGTTGGAGGCGTTGAAGTTCAAGCCGACCTCGCGACGAACAGGCAAGCCTTTGGTTGGCACGGCCGCTCCAGCATCGGGCACCCAGCCGGCCGCAGCCCTCCCCACCTCGCCGACACGACCAGGTGGAGGAAGTCTTGCAGTTCATGTCAGTGTGAGGTGCCGCCCGACCGTATCCTCCAAGCAGACCGTTGACATTAACTCCGAGTCACTTGGAGGTGACAAAGTTGCCTTGAAGCTGACGGTGCCCAAGTCAGGCAATGAAGGAGAAGATGACAAGACGCGGGTAGATGCGCGGACATACCGCTGCAACACCTACTACTGCCCCACAGCCTCCCACGAAGAAGTCGCCTCCACAACAGCATCCCTTGTACAGCATGCAATGGAAGGTGGCAACGGGAGCATTCTTTGCCATGGTATCACCGGAAGTGGCAAAACGCACACCATGTGCGGAAGTTCAAGCTCTCCTGGCATCGTACAAAGCGTGGGCAGGCGGATGTTTGAACATATCCGAGATCAGGTTGCTTCTGGTCGAGTCTACATGGTAGAGGCCTCTCATGTACAGATCTTCTCACACGATGGTTCCACGGAGCAGCTCATAGACCTGCTCGCCGACGTTGAGAAGGACCTCGAGGTGAAGCAAGATCCACGTAATCCACTTTCATACGTTTGTGCAGGCCTTCAACGTATCCCCATTAGGTCTCCCGACGACCTGCAGCAGGTGATCAACAAAGGCAGGGCACGAAGCCAAGCGAAAGAGGATGCAGGCATCGCAGCTGCCCGGTCCCATTGCATGTTCATCTTGACAGTGGAAAGTATGTCGGAGCAGTCTGCAAACGGCGACTCGGGAGTCAGCAAGGGCAAGCTGGTCTTAGTTGACCTAGCCGGCTCTGAAAGTCTCCTAAAGACGAGCAGCTCAGATGTTGCCAGACGTCAAGCGTTGGGTATCAATCGAACGCTGGCATCTTTGAGCATGGCTGTAAACAGCACCAGCGGAACCTCGGCGGTGAAGGGCTCTTTTTTGACCCAGCTGCTCCGAGACTGCATGGGTGGCAGTTCACGAACCCTGGTGATTGCAACCATTGGCCTGGAGCTGGAGGATATGGAGGAGACAGTCAAGACGCTGACATATGCGCAGCAGATGATGACCAGCCTGACTGTTCGAACTTCCAACGCAGGTCTGAATCGCTGCTCGGAGCGATACGAGTCCATATGCCTCCGTCTAGTCCATAACACACGACGGTGGGGGCTTAGGCTATGGCTTTTGCATAATGCCACGTGCGTCTGTTTCGTTTTTGTTGGTTTACTTTCCGGCCCGGCTGCAAGTAGATCCTTGAAATCATCTGTGACGTTGTAAGGCATAGATCAAGATCAGAGCTCTCTGATGCAGATGCGGGACAGACACAACGAGTGCATCCGGATGCTCAAGGAGAAGGTGAGCGATTCCAGGGAGGAGGAGCAGGAGGAACGTCGAAGGCCGAAGCCTGGAACTGGAGGGGGGGGGGCCTAGGACTAGGACATCGATGTGATAAATTTTGACTCACTTTCAGACGGCTCAGACGGAGTGCACAAGGCTGCAGCATGAGATGAATGAGATCAATCAGCGCCTTCTGACCAAAGACTCAGCAGAGCAGACATTGGAGGACAGACTTGATTTGTGCTTCACATCGAACGGAGTACATTTGGACTGCGTCGCCTTGGGTCCTGTGCAGGAGATGCGGCAGCAGCAGTTCAGCAAGATGGACGCCATGCGCTCCTTGGCGTTTGAAAATTGGATTGCTTGGCGCAGCTGCACCATAGCAAGCTTAAGTACAGTAGCGAGGTGCGACATTGCCCCTGAATATGACCCAGGAACGGAAATCTCGGAAGCCATGAACAACCAGATGGAGCTTCTGAGAAAGCAGTCCCAAGTGGAGCTGGAAAGCTTGCGAGCAAGCGTGGAGAAGTCGCAGCAAGAATCAGAACGTGTGCCTCTCGTCATGTTGGTTGACGTATGCATGTCTAGCGGAGTCTAGCGGGCCACTGCCGATTCAAGCATCAGGTCCCGAAGCCCATAAGGCCAGGACCTTGACCCAACCGGAGGCAAGTAGGATGCTGTCCAAACTTCGAAGCTCGATGTTTCCCTCGTGGAGAGCATTATCGTTTGGGAAATCTTCGCGAATTGCAGGAAATCGCAAGTCGAAGCGAGCACTCACCACACTGCTAGGATCAGTACCATTCTTCTGTCACTTGCCGTATTGTTATGCCAGCAAGACCAGAGAGATGCAACTCCCAGACAATTTGAGCATGACGACTGCCTCGTGCAGACTTACAGTTCCGAACGAGAGTAGCCGACATGGCGTGGGTGAACACAAAGGCGAAGGAAATTGCGTCTCGCAACGGCTATGCAACTGCAGAAAGCAATCCTCCAGTGCCTTCTGCTTGAGAAAGACTATGGGGGCTGGTGGCGAGCCGTTGGTACAACGGAAGAAATGAAAACAGGGTTAGGTCCTAGTGAGTCCGTGAGTCCGCCAGTGAGCTGCCAATTCTCGGCATGCCTTTGCAATCTCAGGAAGAAAGAAGCAGAGGCTGGAGTGGTCCGTACTTGCTTTCCTGCGTGTTTCGCAACAAGTCTTGATAATGAGTGAGGCACACGAGGCAGCAGTCGTCAAATTGCAGGCTGGACTCGGGAAGTGCATGCGATGATAGTAACATAGCTGCGGGATAGCAGCAGCAAATTCTTAAGATTTGCCCCACAGGCTACCCTGCAAGATGCGCAACAAGCACGGAGAGCAGCTGAAGACGAGGTCGGTGTCCATGTGCCACGCGTAAGGCGAGCTGTGGATCCGCCTCAGACAACTGGCGAGTGACTGACTGAGGCCTCATCCCTGAAGGTGAAACTGGCGACGGCAGAAGAGCGAGCCAGCATGCTCTCGACGAGACAGGAGGCCCGCGGGGCCCGCTCCTGATAGTCTCAGAGACTCGCGCCCAACGAGCTCTGTGTTCTGTTGCAGGAGTTGCGCAAGGAGCGCGCCGAGTTCGATGAGGAGAGGAAGCAGCTCAGGCTGGCACAGCGCACAGCATGGAATATGTGAGAGAGAGAGAGCTCGAGTTTGAAAGTCACCAGGCAGCAAGGAGAGCAGCAATGGCAACGGCTAGCAGTAGTCGAAGCCGAGCTCTCGAAGTTCAAGTCTGAAGCAGAGGCCACCACGGGTGGTGACGCATGAGAAGGGTTGGCCATGCTTGGCGATCGGGCTCTAGCTGCGCAGGTCCAGAAAAAAGAGATCGAACGGTTAAATGCAGCAAGAGCAGAGGTGCCAATTCTTGTCGTGGTTTGCTGCCAGTCCTCGCACTGCCTCGCTTGGCTGGGTCTACAAGGGAACCGGTCGAGTAATTTCAGTGGTAAATCAATTGCAAAGATCTCTGAGTGGCATCTGCAGGAGAACGAAGGCATCCGAAGCGAGCGGGAGTCTTGGAGATGCAGGGAGCGCGACTTGCAGGCGGAGGCTGAAGCCGGTTCATGCAGGGTTCGCGTTTGGGTTTTTGATTTGTCCCATTGACTCGGGGAATTCTGCAGTGCTCCAGATGAAGAAATCCTTGCAGATTCTCCAAGCCCTGCAGAAGCATCAATGGAACGAATCATGCGAGCCGAACGGAAGGATACATTACATGACAGAGTTTATGCATGATCTGAAGTCACACCAGGAGTGCGAGTATTGCACCTGCATAGAATTTGCATGCCTCCGCTTGTCCTCTCACAGCTTTTGCAGGTTGCCTCTTTCAGGAGCAAGCTCGAAGAGACCAAAAGAGAAGCAGAAGTACAGGCCAGAAACATCATCGCTAACGCAATCGTTCCTAGGGATCTTGTCGGACTGACCTGCAGGAGCTCAAGGTCTCTAGAGACCATGGGGACGCGCTGTCCAAGTGGTGCTCTCAGAGTATTATACGGGCACGTAACGGATCAGGCGCCTAGTCGCGAGCCTAGTCGCGCCCTTGCTCTTGCTTGCAAGCTGGCCCGGTGCTACGTTTTGTTCAAGCCTCAGGCGTACAAGTGACGCGCTGATCACGCCAGAAGCGTTGGCGTCTGTGCGTGAGGGCGTGAGAGTGCGATGGCGAAAGCTTTGACGGCTGCTGTCGTGGCACTATGCTTGACCTGTGGCGTTTCTGGGATGGCCTGCACGGACCAGGACAAGCAGATCTGGTCTCAGAAGGGCTTGGCGGCGTTCACGTCCGACATGGAATCCTGTGGGCATGAGTGCGCGCTGAAAGACAAGTCCTGTGCCAGCGACTGTGTCAAGCGTGACGAAGGCTATTCTGACAGCTGCTCCAGTTGTTTCGGTGACCTTTTCGGATGCACGCGGGACCATTGCAAATTCGCATGCATTGGTGGACAGACACAGGCATGCAAGGACTGTGTGAAGAAGGCTGGTTGCCCGGGCGCCTTCACTGGCTGCAGTGGCTTTACCCCGCCATCCTTGGACACTCCTGCAAACGCAGCATGCACGGACCAGGACCAGCAGATTTGGTCTCAGAAGGGCTTGGCGGCGTTCACGTCCGACATGGAATCCTGTGGGCATGAGTGCGCGCTGAAAGACAAGTCCTGTGCCAGCGACTGTGTCAAGCGTGACGAAGGCTATTCTGACAGCTGCTCCAGTTGTTTCGGTGACCTTTTCGGATGCACGCGGGACCATTGCAAATTCGCATGCATTGGTGGACAGACACAGGCATGCAAGGACTGTGTGAAGAAGGCTGGTTGCCCGGGCGCCTTCACTGGCTGCAGTGGCTTTACCCCGCCATCCTTGGACACTCCTGCAAACGCAGCATGCACGGACCAGGACCAGCAGATTTGGTCTCAGAAGGGCTTGGCGGCGTTCACGTCCGACATGGAATCCTGTGGGCATGAGTGCGCGCTGAAAGACAAGTCCTGTGCCAGCGACTGTGTCAAGCGTGACGAAGGCTATTCTGAAAGCTGCTCCAGTTGTTTCGGTGACCTTTTCGGATGCACGCGGGACCATTGCAAATTCGCATGCATTGGTGGACAGACACAGGCATGCAAGGACTGTGTGAAGAAGGCTGGTTGCCCGGGCGCCTTCACTGGCTGCAGTGGCTTTACCCCGCCATCCTTGGACACTCCTGCCAACGCAGCATGCACGGACCAGGACCAGCAGATTTGGTCTCAGAAGGGCTTGGCGGCGTTCACGTCCGACATGGAATCCTGTGGGCATGAGTGCGCGCTGAAAGACAAGTCCTGTGCCAGCGACTGTGTCAAGCGTGACGAAGGCTATTCTGACAGCTGCTCCAGTTGTTTCGGTGACCTTTTCGGATGCACGCGGGACCATTGCAAATTCGCATGCATTGGTGGACAGACACAGGCATGCAAGGACTGCGTGAAGAAGGCTGGTTGCCCGGGCGCCTTCACTGGCTGCAGTGGCTTTACCCCGCCATCCTCGCAAGAAGTTGCTCCCACATGCACGGGAAGTGCTGACCCCCATGCCGGGATCTGCTATCAGGGCTCTTCGTCCATTCTTGGGCAGCAGGAGACCATCCATGTTAAGGTGGACAGCTATGCCAGCAGCAAGGGCATCATGGATTTGACTGGCTCAGGCGTCAAAGCCATCAGCTGCATCAACAAACCTTTCACGAAGACTGGACAGGACATCACCACAGATGTGAGCGACTGCATCCATGTGTTCGGGTTGAAGCTGTCGGACATTGCATACTGTTCAGATCAAGACAAGGTGTTGGTCACACTGAAGATTGCTGGCTTTGACGATCGTGTCGAGCTTGACAAGGTGACTTGTGCAGAGGCAGAAGCGTCCATTGTCGTTTGAGGCACAAGCGCTGTACTAGCTTTGCTGGAGAGGCACTTGGCTTCACGGCACATTTAATCAGTGCACCTATGGCAATCTATGGACGGAGAGCTGGCCCTACTTGTAACAGCTATTCGCCAAATCCATGGTCAAAGAAAAGAAAGCCTGCCCTCGCGGGCCCTCGTCGCAGACAGACAGTTCTTAAAGTTAACAAACTGAGCGAATCAGCCATGCGAGGCTGAAGCTCCAGATCGAGAGGCTCGAAACGGAGGCCCCTGCAGTCCCCGCAGCATGTTGCATGCTTGTTGCAAACTCCTACTTATGCCCACGATGCATAGTCCATGATGGTATTGTCCTTGAGGTTATGTTCATGTATCCTCAGCCTGGCCGAGTTTCAGTCCAAGTAGCACTTGTTCCTCTCACGGATGATGGACGAATGCTTACACCAGTTTTCTGGAAAGGCAACCACGGACTCCACACATACCTGGTAGCATTGATGTTGTGTCAATGTTGTTCTCCGAAAAGGTATGGGTTCTGATGAGGGACACCTTGCATCATCTCACATTCGGTTTGGGGCTGATGCATGGTGTCGCAAGTCATCAACTGGTGCAATACTTCCTCCATCCGCCGGAAATGTTTAATTCGGTATGTATATATATATATATATATACACATATAGTTTATATAGGTCCCCAACCCTTTACCCTTAGGCGACCCCAGGTTCCCTCTAATAGGCCCTGAAGTGAGTGTTATGTAGTCTTGGCCCTTACAAGGCCCTTTTCCGGGGCAGCCCGGGCTCAAAGACTCCCCGAAAATCGCGTTTTCTGTGAGGGTTCCCTTGAAAAGAACTACAGGAAGCGATTTGTAGTGTGATGGTTGCTACTAACGTCCTAAAGCATGCAGCGGTTGTTGCAAGTTTCATGTCCAGTATCAGTCTTCTTTCTCTCATTGCCCCACGAGTGCCACTACTCACTACTATTGTCACACTGAATATCACTGTTGGTCCATGTGCTGACGAATACACACGATTATTTGATCAGGATTTCTAGTTGCTGTTATTGTTTCAAAACTCTGATTACTACTGCTGTTATGCGAAAATCGAAAGCCCGGAGGCATCCAGTCGATCCCAGCAGCTCAGCGAAGCCAAGGAAGCCGTTGCCAATCTCGAGGCAGGGTTCGGCCGTCGCAGATCATGCAGCAGGTCATGTCCTTGGCATATTCATAGACCGGTGAAGATGGCGACTCGGAAGACAGCGATGATGATGTGATGACACTGTGAATATGGTCGTCATTACAGTCATGCTTCAGGAAGAAGTACTGCGTATCTGCGGCAGTTTCGTCAACTGCTGTTTCATTATTTAAATAATGATCGTAATTCGTGCCGATCAGGTAGCCCAGGCTCAGCAGAAGAGTACAAGGGGAGAATTTTCAAGCACTCTCAAGCTTACAGTTGGCGCGTGGCCTCCTACAAGTCCAGACCAGGTTCAACTAGGACCACGCCCGGCGCAGAGCTTTGCATTCTTTCGAAGCAAAGGGGTGCTCAGACGATTCAGTTGCACCGGGACACTGCCTCAAACCCGACATTCGCAGCCGAGCTCCGAAACTCGACGCCTTGATGTTGGCGTGCATGCATTCGTTTCATGTCGGCAGCATTCCTGTAGGGAAGGCAGCCACCGCAGGGTACCCTGCGCTGGAGACCGATGCAAGGGTGCTTCGTGTCACAGGTCAGCAGGACATTTGGCTTTTGCGAGGTGTCAGTATTTCGCAAGGAGTTCTCAGCAAGGCAATCAACAGAACGAAGCTTCAGAGACACGCATCTGGCTGAGTGCCACAGGCTGACCGAGCCATCGCGCAGCAGCGCGAGGACCAGCTAAGGCCACCGACTTAGACCTTCGTGAGCCATCAGACGCCCTAAGAAAGCCCAGCCAGATTCCGCTAAGTTTGAGGCAACAGGCTGCTGCAGAGATCAAGCGGTGGCAGGCTACTGGGCTCTGTTTGCGCATCGCCGAAGTATATGAAGAATTCCAGGGAAGGCCAGTGTGTATTCGTTCTTTCCACTGGGCGGGGGCCAAGGGATGCAAACAAAGGCAGAACGATAAAAGATGTGCGCAACGACCATGTGGACGACCCTGCATCCTAGACCGGGACCCTGAATCAGTATCGCGACGACGATGATACATTAATGAGTACATACATACATACGTTCATACGCACAGATATCTATACGACATGTCAATATACTGCTACTATACTACTACTACTACTACTACTACTACTACTACTACTACTACTACTACTACTACTACTACTACTACTACTACTACTACTACTACTACTACTACTACTACTACTACTACTTCTGCTACTACTACTACTACTACTACTACTACTTCTTTTGCTTGCGCAACCGGAGTAGAAACAAGAATCCCCCAACCTGGTCTCAGCCTTCGTAAGGTTTGGCTGATGGTTGGATTGCTGCAGTGCTTGCACTGTGGGGCATTTGAGTAGTCCTTGCAAAGCCTGCGCACAGCAGCTCGAGGTGAAAGGTCGGTCGTACTGCCTTGCAGGTGGAACTGGAAACGAGCCGAGCTGCAGAAGCAGAGCTCATGAAAATGTTGGATGAGGCCCCTTGTTTCGACGTTCATCAACAAGCAGGCGCGAAATCCAAAAGCTATTCATGGCCGAGACTCAGGTCCAAGACGGTATCATTCAAACGAACGCTGGTGCTTGAACCTCAGCTTCGGGATGTATGGATAAGTTTGCAGCAGTTAGTGCAGAGTTTGCTGCCCAAGTCGTTTTCAATACATGGCCGGGCAACGGGAAGAGGTTCGTTCGCGAGTCACTACGAGCCCAAGCATTACATACATTGCGCGTCATGATTTGACAAGTTTGCATAAAACACATATACAAACACATACATACACACATACATACATAGACATAGTCATATATATATATATATATATATAAATGAATAGACACAGGCAGGTTTTGTGTAGACAAACTTGTCTGCATTTCTGTATACACAGCCACAGCACATACACACACACATGTATGTGTTTTTGTTCACACATGCATGTTAGCATGTGCACGCAGCTACAAATCTGAAACAGTCTGGAGTACGTGTATGACAAGAGTCGCACTTATGTTTGGTATATGAATATTCGCATGTGCCCATGCTCACATGTATGTATGTATATGCGCGCATATGTAGCACGAGTCCAAGGCTCAGCCAGACATTTCGTAGCAACGAGTAGAAGGACCTGCTCCACCAGGCGTGATCAAGCCGATGCTTTGGCACAATGCGTGTGGCTATCACGACAGACACCACCACTTGCTTGGTTGTGGTTCAGTCAACGGACATAGCGACAGACCGTGAACAGGCAGGCGTGCGTCTGGTTGAAGTCAGCCAGCATGTTTCACAAAGCGAAGTAGTTAGGCAGACCGACAAGGTTTTTGCGCATGGATTAAAATGCGGCATACTGTATGTTTTAAGGCGTTGATGTGCATGCCATTGTTTTGGCAAGGCGTTGTTACTTCCGTTGGAATGCTGCATTCTTCATCAGCCATTTGTGCATAGACTCCCCAGGGAATGGCGATGCTTCAAGATGCGAGCACAACACAACACTTGGTCCATCAGGGCAGCGGCTAGTTTGGCAGGCCGCATGTTTCGATGTTATTGAGCCAACTTTGGTGAAGTAGGCTTCCTAAGGTGTTGATTCTTGATTGCTGCAAGATTGGTTGCTGCGAGTGCTGTGAAAGTTATCAACTGATAGTAGTGGAAGCAGCCGCTTCGGCACAATAGTTTTATCACATGAACCCCTCCCACATACAGTTGCGTCGTCAGCGATGTGCAGCAGAGGGCCAGTCGATGTCCAATCGGCTATACACACTCCGAGGTGGGGAATTGGAATCCTAACCGCAGTATCGCCGACGTAAGCAAACCTGCACAGGCACAATTTGTTTGGAAAACGGTCGCAGGCGGGCATTATTCTGGATTTGCAAGCAAATGCTCAAGTCCACGAGTGAATCGTTTGATTATTGGTGTGTGCGTGATGATGTGTCCTTTGCGGGCAGCTGTTGGCTAGGACTTGACACCCACTCCCCCTTCTGCCGCGAAACGGCCTTGCAGGGTTCCGTCAGGCACTAAGATGCGCACTGCGGACTCCTGAGTCCAAACAAACACAAAGTAGTGTCACAGATGCCACGTAGCCGCTGGGCCATGCTGCGCCTAGAGGTTTCTGCCAAACAGTATCAGCGAGGGCACGAAGGCAGCGTATCTCAGCTGGAATTCAACCAGAGCGTGGTTTCATCCGCAGCAGGACCACGCAATCAAGCGGCAGTGGAGATTGGCGGAGCCATGTGCAGGGTTGGGCGCTGAGCGGTTGTGGTTTGTCTTTTGCTGCGCTAGGGCTCCAATTGTAGGATCAAGCTCCGAATGTTTCTTGTCGCTACTTGCAAGGCTGCCTGCGGGGACGCTCACGGAACCAGACGACGACTTGCTCATCATCGGGTCTGGACCACAGCAGTCTTCCCGCGTAGTAATCCGTAGTGTAGGCTCATGCTGTTTGCCTACTGCCTGTATACCAGACATCCGTGCGTGTATATCTCAATTCATTCCTAATGAAGGAGGTGAGGCTGAGGTGAGGGCAACGAAGGAAGGCAGAACGGAATGATGGTCAAAGACAGACAGCCACAAAGAATGCAAGGAAGCGAGGAAGGGAAGAATAAGGACAGGAGAGTAAAACATGGCGATCCTTCAGTTGCTTTGGAACAGTTTGAAAAAGAGTACAAAAGCAAGCCAGGAGCATGCAAAGAGCTTAAGGCATGAAGGCGACACACTGACATAGCAGAAACAATACCAAATTGGACAAAGTGTCTCACTGATGAAATTTATCAGCAAGCATGCACTTTCATCACCGAGATAGCAGAAGCAGGAAAAACTGTTTGAGACGCCTACTGTAACCTTGTGACTCATAGCAGGAGTAGTGCTGACTCTTTGCTTTTTGTTGTTGTGACTGCAATAGTCGTAGTGGTAGCAAGACTCGTGACACGATGGGCTGCCGACAGCAGCAACAACAACCTGGCAAAGGTGCTAAGTTTACTCGCGTAAAATATTTAATTTAGCCATCTGCTAAAGCCATACTTGATCATGCGTAGTGGCATCAAACTGCACAATATGGTAATGTGCAGCATCTGCAAGAACGGAGAACCCTGTAACTTGAGGTGCGTGTGTGTGTGTGTTACATTTTCAGATGCGATGCTAATAATTCTGTATGCATTTTTATAGTGAAGTGTTATGTTGCATTGCACTTATGTACGGATAAGTGTATGAACTGTATCTGAAGCCCAAAACAACTGGCCTGCCCTTCCTCCCTGTCTACCTACCTTTCTGTTTTCTTGTCGTCCTGTCAATCTAGCTGCTAGCTGCATGTCTCTATCGGTACATACACTATTCGTGTATTTCTGTTGGTTTCCAGCAACACCTTAGCTCATCTAGACTGTTTCGAAGATGGCAGAGACCCACAAGAGTATCAGTATGTGAAGAAACCGGGAGCAAAACATCAAGGATAGAAGGATGCAGACGAAGGCACGCATAGGTGTGCCGGGGTAGAGGGGGGCCAAAAGCATGCTGCAGACGCCAACAGCAGGAAGTATCAACCGGAAAAGAGTTGGGAGCAGCAACAACAACTCGCGACCCAAAGTAACACCACGAATCTCAGTAAGCCGCATTATTGTCGTCAGATCTGCTGCCGTTATACTCAGCTAGCTCGTCAGCCAAAAGCTCGACCTGCAATCTCTGAGGCGGAAGGCTGTCAGTAAGCTCCATGGAGAGGACTGTATTCTGGAGGAGCGTGGAGTAGCTCCAGTCGGCAGCGTCGGACTCGGAGTTCCCGAATGTCGCCCAGGAGGTGCCGCAGGCCGCCAAAGCTGTCGACGAAGGCCATGACATGCGGCATATGAGTCCAATTCGTCCAGTTTGCTGTTCCGAGTGCTTCAGGCGACACGGAAAGCGACGTTGGCAGTTCCGTGGATCGATCCTTACTGTGGACGTGGTTCGACCTGTGGATCACACGAATCATGAGTCGATCAGGCCCTTAGCGAAGGTCTGGAACGCTTACTCTGGCATTGTCCTTACGCTGTGCTGCAGTCTCCAGGCTATGACAAGCAGTCTGGGTGACTCAGGTCCGATGATGAGGAGTCAAGTGGAGCATGATTTCTTGGCTTATCAGATTGCCCGAATTGCGCAGGAAGGCTGCGAGCAAGTCGAGGGATGTCACGAAGTGGACCAAGGCACGTTGATGGTTTGAGAAGGGGCCTCGAAGTGCTTCGAACTGCTTACCGACTGGAAAGCAACAAGGTGCTTTCCCTGAGAGCACAGTGCCTCGCCGGCCTGCTTGCATCATTGGTCAACATCGCCGATGGGGCCTAGGACAATGCCCAGGGCAAGTGTGCCTTTTGGAAGTGGGTGTACGGGGTGTGAGGCTGAAATTCTGATACAGGAACTCCCCGGTGCCGCCACGGTTGCGATGTGCGAAGACTTGAACAAATATTGATAATGGCCGGTGCTTGTACGATGTAAGTACGGCGGAATACAGCGAGACAAGAAGAAAGCAAGCGCAAGTCATGACGATTCACGGGAGTGTCTGCTCATGGACTACATATTATACCACTACGGTACCGACTTCTACATCTGATCATCCTTTCGGTTGCATTCCTCGCCAGACTCAGAGTCACTCGCGTGCAGGCTAGTGCCTGTCCCAGCGGCTTCAGAGCCGTCGAACCCGCTGGACTCACTGAGGCCAGAGGCTTTGAGACGCGAAGCATCGAAGTGGAGACTGAAACAGTGACAGCGAAGGTCCTTGGCACCGCTGGCCCTCGACGATCTGAGGGATCTGAGGGAGGCCGGGGCTTTGCACCGGACGGCGTCATGACATGATGCAGTGAACTCAGACCGTCCTGCCACCGGTGCCGGTCTTGGCATACGGCAGAAATCGCAGGAAGCCGGCTTCTTGAGTCACTGTTGCTTTTTCGTGGTCTGATTCCGTTTCCTGCCTGCAGCTTGGAGGAGCGGCAGCGCGAGCAAAGTTCAGGCACTGCTTTTGCTCGTTTGCAATTTGATGAAGCAACCGAAGTTCAAAGACCCGTGCCTTCGTCCCGTAAATTTGAAAACACCAATTCCAAGTGACTGACACTTGTGGGCGGCAAACATCGGCACGCCCTTCACAGGAAAGCCGACAGCAGCCCGAACAGGGCGTGTCGTAGACACATGCTGGCAGCTCATGCTGCACAAAGCTTAAACCTTAATATACTAATCATTACACGGAAGGCCAATGGCTGCACTAGTGTGCTCATTCAGAGATTCAGAGGCCGTGTCATTGAAACAGGTTAGCCCGGCGAGAAGCCAAACGCCCAGCGGGAACTGCTTTCTGGACTTCGGCGAACGGAAAAGGGACGTCTAAAAAAAATATGCTAATCATCCGTTCTTACTTGCGAATTGGGGTTACGCGTGCCTTGGGGTGTGCTCAGAACGTTTTTGGCTTCGGGAAGAAGTTTAGAGCGGCCCCTTCCGACAGGCTGTGGGTGCACCGGCACCTTTGCTGGCACTGCCGTCCCGGAGCTTAATCTGAGGGAGAATAGGGTATGCAGTTTGAATATAGAGAGAGCTTTTGTCCGGCGAACTGCTTGCATCCGTTTCTTTTTTCAAGCTGAAGACTTGCTCGCCCTGCGAGGCCTGCACCACTCACTGCTCTGCCACCTCTGAGTGTCTTGTTTGAGGCCAGCTGCAGATGCATGGACTTATGACTTATGAGTGATTGAACATGTTGCCGGCTTACCTTCTTGGGACATTATGGCGAGGTCAGACGACGTCACCCCGAAATAAAGGAATTAACGACCCGACCTGGGTTTCCAAATTAAGTGACCTGGACTTTGAATTGAAGTGGTGCGGGGAGGGCTGGAGGCTGGGAGAGGGGCAGGGAATCCCAAATCAATTTCGAGGTTCCGGGCGGTGAGAAGGCGAGGGGCAGGGAATCCAAAATCAATTTGTTGAGGCTCAACAAATTGAATTTGGTCGTTGCGAGTTTGGATTTGAGGGCTGGGGCTGGGGTGTGGCCTGGAGAGGCTGCGGGCTTGGGGCTGGGCTAGGCGCCAGACTGGAAGCCACCCGGCAAGGAGTCAAAGGAGTCCAAAATCAATTCCTGGAGGCTCAACAAATTGATTTTGGTGGTTAGAGGGCAGTGGGAAGGCTGGAGGCGGGAGGCAACCAGCAGGGAATCCAAAAATCAATGTGTTGAGGCTCGGCATATTTAGGTTGTTCAGGGTTGTGGGAAGGCTGGAGGCTGGGGGACCCGGCAGTCAATCCGAAATCAATTTGTTGAGGCTCATTTTGGTTCAGGGACGTGGGAAGGCTGGAGGCTGGGCAGGCACTTGGGCAGGGAATCCCCAATCAGTTTGTTGAGGCTCAACAAATTGATTTTGGTGGTTCCGGGCGGTGGGAGGCTGGAGGCTGAGGCACCGGGAATCGGTTCCGGGCGGTGGGGAAGGCTACTACCCTTGCTGCTTCTACTATCTAGCACCACCACACCAAATGCGACTGCTGCTGCAACACTAACAACAGCAACAACTGCTGCTGCAGCTGCCACCACCTTCCACGACGACTGCTACTACTACTACTACTACTGCTACTACTACTACTACTACTACTACTACTACTACTACTACTACTACTACTACAGTCAGGTTACCAATAGGTTACGAGGGCTATCTAAACCGGAATTAAGTGAAATTAATGACCCGACCCGACCTGGGCTTATTTCCACATGCCAAATCATTATGATTTCCTCAGTTTACCTTCCTGCAGCTGCCGCCTGCTGTGCTTTGTTTATGTAGTCGTCGCGCCCGTGCCACATGCACACTCACTGGTGGTGGAACCCAAGACCTCAATCTTGCGCACTCGTGAATGTTTTTCAAATCATGCAACACATCTCGCTGGGGATGGTGCGTGGGGAGCGTGGCAGTGGTGCTGTGTGAGAATGGTGTTGGTGCTGCCGTCGTTGTTGTGGTGGTTGTGGTGTTTGTGCCGTTGTGGTTGTTGGTGGCGGCGGTGGATCGTTCATTGCACGGTCCCGGTTGTAACCTCTGCGACCACTATGTCATCATGTCCAGTCAAGCAGGCTGGCCTGGCAGCGTTTCGAGCTGCCAACGGACAGGCACAGGCGACACCGCCTGTCCCTGATAAGGCGAGATCTCCTTGGTGGTCATGACCGGTTGCTCCGCGCTGGCACTACGTTCCATGGTGAAACTTCCGATTAGGGAATGGAGTCCAGAAGGCTTGATGGTCGTACCCCAATTCAGACACCAAGGTTGTGCAGACCGGAGACTCTGTAACGGTCTGCAGGATTGGAACGCCTGCAGGTGCAAAACAAAACAGTTTCCGCTTGAAGCTTCTTTGGGCTCAAGTGTGAGCCAGATGTCAAGAGGGTTTGGTGATGTCGGGTTGGAGATTTGACACCATTTTAACAGCAGCTCGGATGCATAGCTGCTGCTTCTTGGGCAGCCCTCTCGCCGAAACGCGAACGCATGAGTGCTCTTGTGTGTGAGTATGTGTTGGCTGGGAGGGGGGAGGCATGACCTTGGGATGCACCATTCCAGAAGTGGATGCTGAGGTCACCGTTGGCTCCAACTCGGTTCGCCGTCCTTAAAGGCATGGCCGAGAAGGCCGCATGGACTTGCCCTGATGCTCCGGTATTCCGGATTTGTCTAGAAGTATGCAGGAGGCGGCTGAGGAGAAGCCGAAGCCTGACGGTAAGCCTAAGGATGGTGAGTCACTTGGCTACGGGCTGGAGCGACAGTGTTTGACTACAGGTGCAGTAGCATTGGCAGCAACACTGCTTCATCCAAGGGCTGCACCTGCACCTGCAAAAGTTATAGTTCCTAGCGTGTCTGAGCTGCAGCAATGCCATAGCCCCTCTGGCGGCTCATGCGGCTGGGGCACTCTTTGATCTGCTTTCCCACTCCTTATTCTGACCTGATTCTGCCTCTGCTCAGGAATCGTTAGGCTCGAAGGACCACGGCACGGGCGAATGCAAGCCCTGTGCGTGGTACTGGAAGCCTCAAGGCTGCCGCAACGGCAAGGACGGGAACCGCCCACCTCGAATTCCAGTGCGGGCATTCATACTGCAATGGTCGTACAGTCGTACGTGTTAGATATGTATGCACATAGTTGTACAGTTACATACATGTATTATGTTCCATCGTTTTTGTATGCATATGAATGTCTGTAAGCATGCATGTATGCATGCATGCATGCATGTATAAGTTAAAGAACCCAACAAAATGTGCAGGCACATGCATACACGTGCATATTTTTATGTATACAAGTGATTTGAAAAAGCCTCTGGTTATATAAGCAACAGAATTGTACCAGTTTCCGAGATTATCAGTAGCCAGCAAACGAGGATCTGAGATTCTGCACTTGCTACAACTGTGGTTTTCTTGTTTTCTTCTAACGTTGTAAGAAAGGAGTCGTGGTTGTGTTTAAGACTTCATGAAACCTGGCGGGGCATGCGAAACGGGTTCAGAATCATGTCTTCAGGTGGAGCAGATCTGTCTGTTTGTGCAGAACTAGATCGACATTGCTTTTTATGGGAGTGTTTTTGAAGCTATGAATTGCGATGCGCCAGGGAAGTTTGGGAACTACGATCCTTCGGTGTCAGTCGTTTGGCCATCTGCTTCAGGACTGTGCTCACTGTCATATGTGTGACAAGGATGAGCTCAAGAATAGGAGACTTCACTGCGCTGGTTGTCGTGGTGCATAAACTTCAATTTGGGCGGGCTGTGCTGGACATGCACTGCAGTGTGGGCAACCAACCGAGGAAAAAGAGGAAGACTGCGCAAAAGAAGCCTGCTCCAGCGAAGAAGGATGCAGATCGGCGCTCTAGATCTGCGGAACGCCGCCGACCAGATGCGCCTTATGAGCCACAGAATGGCCACGACAGCTACCGGGCATACTATGAGCGTGCTTACGGTACACCACCCCCAAATCCGTACTACTACCCGCCTCCTCCCCACGGCTACCCTGCACCAGTCCCACCCTATGGCTATCCCCCGCAGTCACCTTACGCCTACTACGCCCCCCCACCGGCTTATGGCTATCCACCGCCAGGGCCATACGGCTATCCTCCACCGGCCTATGGCGCAGCCTATACCCATCCACCAGCACCCTCACCAGGCGGCGCCTATGAACCCCCGCCAGGAGGCGCTCCTGGCGCCCGAGACCGGTCGTATAGTCGCGGACGTGACTACAACCGCAGGCCAAGCCGCGGGCGCAGCGACAGTGGTGACTACAGCCGCAGCCCAACTCCAAGTCCCAAAAGAAGACGGCATTGATGGCAACCAGTTTCCACTTCGCCACCAGGATGAACGACACCTGCGCAAAGGCCCTCGCCGGTGCTAGTCTGCGATAATGCTGCCCATGAGCTTAGACAGCTTGGATTAGCTGGCCGCTGCGATCTCGGGATTTGTTGCCAGCTAATGTGTTTGAATTCACAATTGAACCTTGCAATCGGCAGTGCCACGAGAGTAGAGTTGCTGCGGCTTGCCAAGTGTTTGCGGCTGCTATACAGTTGGTCTCACTCGATCAAGGAGGAGCTCATGGTGAGGGAACAAAGAAGGATCCGCTAATTAAAGCCCTCAGAGCAGGTTGCCTCTGCAGGCATGCACAGCGCCTCCAAGCATTCGGGAGGTGCAGGCAAGATCAGTTCATCCGCCAGGTCATGCAAAAGCCGACCGACTGGCTCTATCCTGCTCGCCCATATCCTTCACACGTGTGGCAATGGGACCGTGCGTTCAGACATGCCTCTAGCACATCCACATATATGAAGCGGATCCTGTTGGTTCGCAGGATGGTGCCGGAGAAGCTCCCAGGCTGGCGGGGTCACAACGTGCCAGATCCGAGGAAGAGTCTGTGCGTTCCGGAGTTGCTACTGCCCACCCTAAAAACTGGCACTCATCTTGACAACAGGAAGCGAATCTTGAGATTCAGTGGCTGGAAAGACAAGCTTTAGGAGTCCATGCCGTCTATCTGTTCGTCAGGCAGGGGCAAGACGGATTCCGCAAGTTTGTGCAGACAGCCCTGGAGAGGTTCAGGCTTCTCAGCACGCTATTCAGTGTGGTAAGGCATGTGCTTCTGACGCATGCAAGATTCTATGTCGCTTGGCAGGAGCAGCGGTAGCGAAGAAGATGCCATGCGGAACTCAGGCAGATGTCTTCCTCTTCAGCCGCCTGGGCCTGATCGCTAACCTATGAATCCACATATTGGTGATGCCGCTCAGGTACCAGCTCAGAGTGGCGTTTCTGTTGCACCCATTGTCTCCATTGACTCGTCTGCTGGTGGTCTCTCGGCGAAAGGAAAGACGGCCCAGACATCTTAGGCATCTGGAGAAATGTGGATGTGCGAGATGTGATTGTAGCGGGGTAGCCAAGGTCCATGCGACCGGTTCAGGAAAAACGCGCACGGTTTTGGCTGCTGCCGACTCGTCCTGGGCATAGCACGAGCAACTGCAAACACGTCTTGCAGAGAGACACGGGAGGTCTGTGCCAGCCTGCCTGAAGGTTCTTCAGATCGGGCAAAGCGACTTGCCTGTTCTTTCCAGAAGAAGCAGTGAAGGAAAACTTTTACCAGGACCCCCATGCAATTTTCGGGCAGGTCCCGGCATCGGCAGTGAAAATTTACTCGCCCGGCTTGAATTCGTACTGCTCAGCCTTGCCTTGCCTATCATCATCGGAACTGCTGACATGGTACTTGTAGTAGTATCAGATGCAGTCCGCTGATGAAGATAACAGTAAGAACACAGAGCGACGACGATGACAGCGATGTGTGCATATGTGTTTTTTAAATATTTTTTGTGCATATGTATATCGATGTTCTTTTCACATATATATATATATACAAAGAACCCCCTGGGACCAACCTCGGCCATGCAATTTCTCATATGTGTTCTTGTGTTGTTGCGGACGGAAGCCGAAACCCTGTAAGTACCGATAAATTCAGTAGTACCGATTTTAAATTCAGTGTCGGCTATTGATCTTAACAGTGTATTACCGTCATACAGTAATACAGCACCAAAAGCAAGGCCCCAGTTTAGCAGCCGTAGTTCTTGCCGTTCCTTTGGATCTCCTGCCATATGAACGTACATATGCTATATCGATCAGCGTATCTTCGGCTATCTAATATTCGAGCAGTTATGACGAGACGGTGCATGTGTTATTGCTTCTGTTAGAGGTAGTATGCAACCAGTTTTGGGTTAGTATCGTTGAACTGTTTGCAGCGTGTGGCATGATATTCAGATCTGTTCATTCATCGAATACTTTTGCGCTGCATGCGTTTATGAATTACCTGTGACCTGCCAGACCTGCTATCGAAAATTGAGAGCAGTAATGGCTGCTTCTGTTAGAGTTAATATGCCGTTAGCATGCGATCAGTATGCGTTGAAAATTGCGTGCCGCTTCGCCTCATATCTAGCTTTGCTGTGTTAACAACCGAGAACACATTTATAGTGTGACACATAGGTTCATAACTATTTATATTCAGTTTGTACTGGAATAGGTAGTCGTTGCACCAACGAGAACAAGATTCAAAACTCTGCAGAAGTTAATTGCGAAGTGCGAATGCATTCTTAGATCACCAGTACCTACTGCTTGTTTCGTTCATAGAGACAAAAGCAAGACGAACCTGCGAACCGAGTGTTCGCTGGTGACTAGATCACAACATAAAATGTTACATGAATATTCCTATGTCCGAATATGGCTTACAGACCAGTGAAGCATTCCAAAGAAAAGAATTTGCCAAACATCAAAGAAATACTACACTACTTATTTCCAAACACATTGTTGACTTACACACTGGTTAGCATTCAGCTGCATTGTTTGAACAGTTTTTGTGATTGAGTATGAATGAACAATTGCTTATTGCCAGGTAGACCTGAAGCTTGCAACAATGAATTGTTGATTAAGTGTTGTGCTAGTATCGCATGTTAGTAAAGCATTATTTTGGAGAGCTTATCGTCTCTGTTCGAACGGAATTAAACATAGAAGTATCTCAACGCTGAGCATCAAAAGTTAAACGACTTTGCATATCAGGAGTAATGTGTACGCTTGTGCCGGCCCAAGAGTAGGTTTCAGTTCACGTACATTCAAATTTTAGTTGTCTCCGAGTGGGCCATGAAGCTTACACGACCTTAGGTAGATTCGGTTGTGCTACAATCTTTTACACATGACCAAGAATTCTATAGTTCAACACCCATTACACACATGAGTTGCTTTTGCCTTTGCGTTTTTGACAATGTCCGTAAGCAACATGCCAATACCACTTATGTGGATTTTCGATAAAATACATGCCAGATGTGTAATAAGCTGTCTGTGAACATCGAACCAAGTGCTAAACACATAATTAAGCGAATGCAGATCTACTTTTCCCTCGTGATAACCGCAACCAGACATGTTCGAACTTGTATAGTTCACTACGTGGTATCAAGCAGGTATGGAACTTATTTTAAATCATGTATTTCATGATGTACTGTACCAGCTATTAACCTATGACATTCAACAACAGCCTACATTGTTTTGCAGATATCAACATCTAAGCAAATCTTAGTCAATGTTAGACTTAACAATCTTATTTATTAGTTAGAGCAGCTCGAACACGACCGAAGCACCAAGCGAGTACTCCAACAACATGAAGTTCATACACAGCACTTTGGGTATACATTTCGGGAGTGCAAAGCATTCTCAATTTCTGGAACTCGCAAACTTTGAAAAAATTTCGGAAACCGAGTCATACCTACGGAACCAAGTCTTGGAATTTCGGAATTCCATGGATTCTAAATCTCTGACTTTTGGGAATTTGTTGTGATTTTTTCGGCAGTTCTGGAATTTTCCGAATGTCAGATCTTTTCGGCATCATAGTCCTATCATGTGAGAAGTATATGTATATATATATATATATATATATATATATATATATATACGTATGTATGTGGATGGTGCAGCGCTGCTAGGCCCCCTCCCCCCCGGCCCCATGGTATCCCCCCCCTCCCCCTTGTGGTTCCCTGTGGTGTGGGTTCCCCTCTGCCCCTCCCCAGTGTTGTTGCGGTGCCCCCTTCCGTGGCTTTTGCTGGTTAGGCGTCCGGTCGCCAGGGGTTTGAACCATTTTGGACCTTAGGATGTGATGCAGTTCCACTGAACTCCGACTTGCCCTGAGCTCCAAAGCCCATGATAGTGATGAATACTATGGTGGTGATGATGATGATGACGAAGATGCTGCTCATGATCCCCATCCGCACTCTCCCACTCTCCTCCGGTCCCTGTCTCAAGAGTCCCAAGTGAAAATCATTCAAAAACGTGATCAAGCTTACCTTTAACGAACCCAACCGAAACTTGGCTTGGAATGACTTCGGTCGATGCGTCTTTCGCGTTTTCAACTAAATTAAGTAATGAACATGCAGTGCCGAAACCCAGAGCAACATAAGAGCAAAGGTACCACCAACAGCCACATATTGAGAATAGCACATCAACGTCATTGAACATTGGGCACAGCAGCATCGCCATTCTCATCTGTGTGTCGAAGCGGACGGGAAGGGGCCTTGTGGTTCCCTGTTGTGGGTTATCCTTCCCCACCCCGCCCCTGTGGTCACAGGGGCCCCTTCTTGCGGTTTCTTTTGTTGTGGGTTATCCCTCCCACCCCCCCCCATGCTAAGGCGAGAGGCCTGGCTTGCGGGGGAGTTACGTTGATGACATGTGACTGTTTGCTGGGAGAAGGCTGGCCTGGTGGGGGGGGGTCATACAATGGCGGGTGGGGGGGGGGGCGCCTGCGACGCGGCGTCGCGGCACCATTTATGGTCACCCCCCACGCCCCCCAAGATCTACACCCGCCTCTTCCACACGATTCCACAGGTTGCTTCTTTACGTTGGTCCACTACTCATATATGCCGACAACACCGTAAATACCGATACAATCGTGCTTTCGCCATGTGCATGCAAACCGTGCTGCTACAAGTCGCGGGTTTGATATGTGTATAAATCTGGTGCCGAATCTCGGCCGCAGATTTATGATAGCTTATGTAGTTTATGTGTTGGATTAGCTGAAAATTTGGAGGGCGTGCTATTTTTGTTCATGTAGCACTCAGGAACCTAGTGTTTTTTGCACTTAATAAGCCGCTTTATAGTGTTTTATGGTGTGTTTACTAAAAAACATTCCTCTAATAATAAAATGCTGTATGTAGTCTCCCTTACGAAGAAGCCTGTGTGTGTGTGTGGGCCATTTTTTCCCGCTGCTCGTGAAGCGTTCGATTCTGATGCGGCAAAATCGCTCGAGCACTTGAGTTACGAGTGGGCAGACGCAAAGAGCCCCTTTCATCTCCTTTCCATTATGCATGAAACAAGTCGAATATGTGAGCGCTTTATTTTTGAAGCCCTAATCTACTATAGCGGTTTTTTTCCTCTACGGGGGCGCGCAAGAAGGCTCCTCGGCAGCAAAAAGTAAGAGAGCTCTTGCAACCTTCCAAACATGAAGCAGGACTAGTTACCACTGGTTGTATCAATGAGAAGGCAGGGGCTCCTCATCCCGGTAAAACAAAGTAAGACGGCACTTCTTGGAGGAAATCTCTTTACATATTGTGACACGATCTATGACGGATATCAAAAGCACACATGTGCATAGCAATCGCTATCTATTTTTTGAGGATGCAAAACGAAGTGAACATAAGTACACGATGGGCCATCCTCATACTTATCAAGCAAGAGAAACAAAACTCCTGCGGTTTCAAAAGAAAAAACGATTGGACCTGTAATTTTGGAAGACTGAAGAGAGCCCCTTTCATGTTGTGATACGAACTATGACAGCGTCTAAACCATAGTCATAGACAGAAGGAGCGGTATCGCTTTGTCAGGATATGAGGCAGGTGGCTTCAATAAAATCCGGGTAGAAGTCTCACGCCTCTTGCCCGTGTAATAATAGATACCAGTAAACAAGCCCTTTTTGTCTGTTGATCACATGTAGGGAGGGTCGTGTGGAGATTGAAGAGAGCGATTTTTTGCGTTACGTTCTATGACAGCTATCAGAGAAACAGCCATGGACATAAGAAATTTCCAAGAATTCCAACATGTGGGCATCTATGGTCAGGCCGAAGGCAGATTCCGTAAAATTTTGGAGTTCGTTGAGCATTACAGTGCTTCGTGCGTTTCAGCGCTGGCAAAAGTTTACTTTTTTTGAGCCGTACAGTGCTTCGTGGCCTGGACCTCACAAAACATTGTTATGCTCAAAAAACCAACGTTTCGGAGCGCCAAAGCTCACAAAACTTGAGCGTAGCAGTGTTTCGTGGCTGAAACCTCACAACACACTGTAATGCTTAAAAGAATTCCACCAATTTTTGCGGAATCTGACCCCGGCCGGGCCACAGATGCCAGAATCTTGGAATTTTGTGAGCATTACAGTGTTTCGTGGCCTGAACCTCACAAAACACCGTAATGCTCAAAAACCAACCTTTCACAGCCACAAAGCTCCCAAAACTTGAGCATAGCAGTGTTTCGTGGCTTGAACCTCACAAAGCACTGGAATGCGCAAAAAAAGTCAACCTTTCACAGCCTCAAAAATCACAAACTTGAGCATAGCAGTGTTTCGTGGCCTACACCTTACAAGACAATATAGTATCCAAAAAACAATTGTCACAGCCCGGAAACTCACGAAACATTGTAATGCTCAAAAATTCCAGATGTTGTAGGGAATCTGCCGCTGGCTTGGCCGTAGATGCCAGAAGTTTGGAATTTCCGGAATTTTTTAAGCATTACAGCGTTTCGTGAGTTCTGAGTGGAAATTTTGGATTTTTATGAGCATTACATTGTTTCGTGCGCCTCATGCCCCAAGAACCACGAAAGCGTAGATCTTCGGGGGACGGGGGGCGAGTATACAACTAATATATATATATATATATATGTATATATATATATATACACATATATATACATATATATATATACATATATATATATATATATATATATATATATATTATGTTATATATATATAATGTTATATCTGCATATTATGTTATATCTACATATTATATCTAGAATCTACACACACATAAATGGGTAGGACGAAGGCAAACACTAGTATTGACGGCAGCTAACACGACCGGGATGATGTCAGTGGCGGTGGCGGTGAGAGGGTTCCGCGCTTCAGGAGCTACTGAAATTCCCTGGCTCCTGGCGCGACTTCTTCTGTGCCTTCGAGAATGTTCCCGAGTGGCGCAAGCGGTGCGATCATCAGAGCAGGGCTCCAGGGAATAGATAGCGACTTCAGGAGCCCGAATGTTGACCATGGCAAGTGCTTCGGCGATGTTTGGGTAAAGCACTGATACTGCGCTGTAACGGAACCAGGCACAGAGCCGTGACTGTAAGGCGTCATCGCTGCTGGTCTGCAGAAGAAGTTGCAGAGTTCCCCCCTTCGCAAGCAGGGGGCACAGCAGAAGTTCAGAGTGAACTTGGTTGAAGCATCTTGAGCTCATGAGGTGGAGGCTTGCCTTGGCCTGGAAAGAAAGGTCCGACTGGGTGAGGTCTCTCAAGCGTTTCTGCAGGATCCGCTTTCTCTCTCCGTATCTCACATGAGCCACACCGACTCGTGCCAGCCTGCGAAGGAATGGTCGCAGCAGCATCCCGACGTTCCTCCGCCAACAGCTCCTCTGCGGGCCTTCAAGTATACGTCTGCAGGGGGTTCCCGTGCAGGACTTTGTCCTTTCATATCTCTTGCAATCCTAGGAGCATGACATCAACATAAAAAGTGCATGCACATCCCCCGGTCAGACAGGATGGAAGAGAGACGGATCTTTCGATGCCTCCAGGATGGACAGTGTGCCCGACTCTTGGTGCCCAGACGAGTGGTCGCGATTGTACATTCCAAGAACAGAAGCTTGCTTCTTGCAAGGTTTCGCTTCGGCTTCGATGGGAAGAACCCCATGAGCAACAAGAACTTGGTTTTCGATGAGGTGCACAACATGCTGGCTCTTCCAAGGCACATGATGAAGCATGTGGCTGCATTTCTTAAGCCGAGAGTTTCGAGACAGGTGGAAAGGAAACTATTGGAAGGACTCCGCTGGCAACGCGCTTTCTCGCATTTCGTCCTACCACCCTGGAAGATCTCGCATCAGGAGCCTCTGCGAAGGCTTCGCAAGGCACGATAATGCGCGGTTTGGGTGTTCGCTTGAGTGAGACGCGTTCTGAGGCAGTCGCAGATGCAAACGGCTCATCGCTTGCAGAAGCCTTATTAGGGGGCTGCGAGAAAAGGTTTGCTGCCGTCTTGCGCAAGTCTCAGGTCTTTCTAACAGGCAGCCCCATTCAGACCGACACGAGCGATGGGCACCGTCTGCTGCATCTCCTGCTTGTTTGGAGAATCTTGCATTGCATGGCTCAGCTTCAGCTGTCTGAATCCGAAGTCCGGTCCCAGGCGTGTTCTCAAAGGTCGAGAGCATGCTTCGGCGGGCTCCGAAGGGTGGTCCAGACCTTGGAGTCTTTGCATCAGATCAAAATGCAGCTCTGGGCTACTTGTAGCAGGCTGGACATGCATCTCGTGCGGTCTCCGGAGTTCTTTCCTGAGGCAGGCATCGCCAGTGGGTGCAGCTTCGGGTTGTGCGGCAGTTGCAGGTCTATCCAGTCGGTGTTCCAGACCGGCCACTATGCCGGGACCGAATGCAGTTTGCAGCAGTGTGCAGCTGCAAGGAGTGACTGGCCCAGGCTTGCGGTTGCAGGGAGAACTGGTGGTCCCGGTGGACTTGCCTGAGGCGACTTACTCGGCTTCTCCTGTGACATGTTTCCCTGTCAAGACCTCAGGAGATGGAGGCCAAGTACAGAGAGGTTCAAGCTCAAGGTTGTGACGTCGTGCCTCGCCTGGGATTGGCCGTGCATGAGGAATGAGGACCATGACCTGCCTGGCGATGCAGGTGCGTTTGCGGGATTGCTGCAACTTGGCCGCTCGGGCCTCGGCCAGAGGTAATTTCGCGGCACCCTGTGCGAGAAATGAGCGTCCGCGAGCGACTGTGAAGTAAGTTGGACTGCGCAGCGGCGGATGTCGAAAACTCAAGCCTCTACAGACTCCACAGGCAGATATACTTGTGTGTTAGTGGCCATGGCGAACACGGATGATGCTGACGCTCGGGAGGGTGATGATGCTCCTCAAAATTTCAAGCGCTGTAGGGTCTAACGTAATTTTTCAAATTTCCGAAGCTTGCATCAACGTGCTCTCTGCTGCTGCTGGCGCGTTTGAAACTTGGATCTCCGCTGTCAACAAGATTTGATACGCCTATGCATTGGGGGGTGCGCGAAACACGTTAGGTCACCCACTCTAAACTCGCAGAACGCTAAAGCCAGTTGCATGAGGTATCTTGGGATAAGACCAGCTCGACAGAGGGTTTTTCCACATTCTTGGGGCTTGACATGGAGCATCCCAAGAGAGTTTTTCCACACGTTTGGGGCTTGACAAGGAGCATCACACAAGGGTTTTTCCACATCTTTGGGGCTTGACAAAAAGCCTCGCAAGAGGGTTTTCCACACGTTTGGGGTGTGACAAGGAGCATCCCAAGAGAGTTTCTACACATCTTTGGGGGTTGACAAGGAGCCTCGCAAGAAGGCTTTTCCGCATCTTTGGGGCTTGACAAGGAGCAACGCACGAGAGTGGCAACATTTGTGGAAACTCTGTCGTGTTTGCGGAAAAGTTTGCGGAAACATTTTTGGAAACCCTGTCGTATTAGCGGAAAAAACTTGTGGAAAATGTGTGGAAATTCTGGCCGTGTGTGTGGAAAAACTTGCGGAAACATTTGCGGAAACTCTGGTCGTGTTTGCGGAAAACGTTGTGGAAACACATGTCGTGTTTGCGGAAAAGCTTGCGGAAAACATGCCGAATCCGTAAAATTCTAAACTTCAACACGTTTTGGCCAGTTTTGGCATGACACGGACATGTTTTCCAAAATCTTTTTCCGCACATTTTTCCGCAGACCGCAAATGTTTCCGCAGGTTTTTCCGCAAGCACGACCAGAGTTTCCACAAATGTTTCCGCAAGTTTTTCCACAAACACGACGTCGTGTTTGTGGAAAATATCGGCATGTGTTTCCACAACGTTTTCCGCAAACACGACCAGAGTTTCCACAAATGTTTGCGCAAGTCTTTCCGCAAACACGACAGACTTTCCACCAATGTGTCCGCAAGTTTTTCTGCAAAGACGGCAGACTTTCTGCAAATATTTTCGCAGGTTTTCCTGCAAACAAATGTCCGATTGGAGACTAAGTCTGCGGAATCTTTTTGGTCTGGACCCGAATCCTGTGGAAAAACGCATCCGTTCAGCACCCAAAGCTGTGGAAAAAGCTGCTCGGTGCAGACCCCAAACTTGCGGAAAACAGTGCTTGTTCAGAGCCGAAAGTTGTGGAAAACCGGGCCTGGAATTGTGGAAAACGGCTCTTGGCACCACGATTTGCAAAAACCTTTACAAGCTGCTCATATAAAGGAAGTTAAAGTTTAAGAAACGTGTTTGGCGCACCCCTCAACCTATGCATTCTATCAATAGGATAAGCAATAAGAGACAGCTTAAGCAGTTCGATTCCCACACTCGGGATTCCGAGGTCGATGCCTGTAAGAATTGGTTGACTGCTACGCTACGCTTGATGGTTTAAGGAATGTCGCAGCAAGAAGAAATCCCCAGAGCCCAGGTCCACCACTCTTGGGCTTTGCGTCCGCAAAAGCGGGGGCTCGTGCTGGAGGCAGCTGTTCTTGTTGAGGGTGTAGGTGAGCCCGTGAACGAACTCATCAGTCACAAACAAGTCATGCTCCATCGCTCTGGCTTGAAGGTTGCAAAGTAAATCCAGACCCAAAGCTAAAGCCTCATACGACGGTAGCATTGTCCATAGACGGCACGCAGAAAGGCGCAATCTTGTCTGAGTAAGAAGACATCGGCTTGGCTTGGGGTTTGAGGCCTGGCTTACAACGGTGCTGGATTGAACAAGAAAGCAAAGCACATTCAAAGCTGGTCCAGAAAACTCGAAGCAATCAAGCGTGGTTGCTGAGAGTCTTTGGTATGTCGAGATCACTGGAGAGCCAATGCCGGCAGCAACCCAGGTTTTGTCCACAATTCAACCTGACATGCGCAGCTACACCCCTCAGTGGAACTTTGTCCGTTCATGTGAGGCATCCGAGCAGCACGCAGCAAAGCTCTCCAAAGTCGCAAAAGCCGTTTGGACCGGTCGAGAGAAGGTGCTGCCCACCGTCGTCGATTCGTAGACACCGGAGCTTCGCCTTTTCTTGTTGCAGCAGGCCATGGTGGCAATCTCCAGAAGGGGTGGTTTGCAGGCCTGCTTTCTCGCAACTCAGTATCGTTCCGTAGCGGCGTTCTGGCGTATGGCAGTGGCCTGTCTGTCAACTGCTCCCATATTTGCATTCATTGTATGAGTCGGTAAACGAGCAGCCTACTGATTGCAGCTCCTGTCTATGGCGCAGGTGCTGCGAGAGCTGCTGCGAATGCACGCGCCAAGCGAAAGTGTCAAGATAGCAGCTCCAGCCTCAGCCACTGGGAGTATTCCAGATGCAGTACTGTAGCAACACCACCCCGCGTTTTAGGACTCAACTGCATCTGAAAACCGAAAGCATAAGCCCTTCAAGTCCAGCCGGACTGTCCGTGTCAAGGTTGCCCAATATGGCTTAGGACCTTCCGTTTGTCTGCATGGTGATTGTTCATTTAGAACAGAATCCCAAAACTGGGTCACACACCGAAAGTCTACCGCTGCATTCTTGTACTGGACGATAGGGGATGTCGTGTTTACTGCCGTGTTTTCAGTTCTAGAAATGTCTTACGACTGCTGCAAATGAAATCCACTATAGCCGTCAACCCGTCTTACCTTTGCTGTTCGGAATACTGAAACCAACTTTCAAGGTGACTCCTGACTCTTGCTGCTCCCTACATGATGGCGCTGCCTGTTTTGCGCGAGAGAGAGAGAGAGAGATAGGTAACCCAGGCGATGCTGGGAGCTAAGTGAACAGTTGAAAGCTCCTTTTCAGCACGGTTCCACGAAGAGGCCAGGGGGTTGCTAGTGTACAGGGGTATAGGGGGATTCGCGGGTGCAGAACGGGGCCTCTTCTGGAAAGCCGGGGGGTCTCACAAAAGACCTTCAAGACCGGTGCGCGCTTGCGCGCGGGCGCCACGGCGCCTTGTCCGAGTGCAAGCAAGAGAGAGAGATAGTACTGACCTTGGACGTCGCACGCCGCGAGGGGGTAGGCCTTCGGGCCAAGGGGTTGCGCGCAGCCCCTACACCCCTTAGCAAGCAAGCAAGCAAGAGAGATAGTAGCTCCTTAGTTCGCTACCGGGGCCCTGCTCAGTAGATAGCCCCCGCCGCTGCAGACAAAGCCTTGACAAGCCTGAGCAGAACACCTGTGGTACAAGGCAAGCAGTGGGGCATGAGCAATCATATGCTGTATACAACGAGTTCTTTATGCTGTATACAACGAGTTCTTGTTTTCCTGAACAACCATGCTCAGCCCGCGGGGAGCTTGAACCTTTACTGCACGTAAAACAGTGCACACCACCAACAGCACAGGCTGCCCCAGCGGGGGCGTGCCCTCAAGCCTGGATAAAGAAAGAGAGAGAGGGAGAGAGAGAGAGCGAGCCCTGCCTTGGTTTGAGGTGTTCTCTGGTCACAGCAGCTGTGTGGTTGACAAGAGCAGTGAGGAGCGTCTTCGACCTTCTGAGGTCGGCGTGGTATCGTTGAGCCGGTAATTTCCTCCTGAGTATCTTAATGTGCTAGTCTGTGTTTTCGTCAGTCTGTGTACCTACTCCTACATCATACGGCTGCTACATCATCATCACCACCACTACTACTACTACTACTACTACTACTACTACTACTACTACTACCAGTGCTTCTGCTGCTACTCCTACTACCACTACCACCTACTGCTACTACGACTACTACTGATACTGCTACTGCTACTGCTACTACTTCTGCTACTGCTGCTACTGCTACTGCTACTGCTACCACTACTACTAAAACTACTACTACTACTACTACTACTACTACTACTACTACTACTACTACTACTACTACTACTACTACTACTACTACTACGACCACGACTGCTACTACTACGACGACGACGACTACTACTACTACTACGACTGCTACTACTGCTACTACTACTACTGTTGATGGACAAAATCCTGCATGACCCTAAGGACTATAAACTAGAGGAATTATGGTATATTCCTTGTATTGGGTCATGCAGGATTTTGTCCATCAACAGTAGTACGACGACTTCTACTACTACTGCTACTCCTACTACCACTACACTGCCACAACTACTACCACTACTACTACTACTACTACTACTACTCCTACTACTCCTACTACTCCTACTACTCCTACTACTCCTACTACTCCTACTACTCCTACTCCTCCTACTCCTCCTACTCCTCCTACTCCTACTGCTACTGCTACTGCTACTACTTGTTCTACTATGATGCTGCTGCTACTCCTGCTTTTCCTACTCGTAAGATGTCGCAGCAGATGGAACGTTCAGAGCTTCATTCTTGTGAGAGGGAACTTGACACATTGATGGCTTTGGTTCATCAGGGCATTGTGAGCTCAGAGCTTCGGGGTCGCGTTGAGGTCTCGGGTTGATGCCTTCTGCAGATTAGGATAGTCTCTGACTCTCCGAGCTCAGCAGTGTGGCCATCATCGTGAGTGCATGCGGAGGCCCTGCAGCGTTTCAATGACAACAATCATCCCGAGGCCAAGCGTTTGCACCAAGGAGCTCCATGAAAATGGCAGCACTCGCGTAGCAAACGCAAGAGCGGCCAAGCCCCAGTTGCAGGTTCAAGTGCTTCTTCTCGACACTGCTTTTGGTAGAGAAGGTGTGTCAGCACTGGGCGTGGGCCCAATAGCACTTAAGACGACAGCATCTCCACCTTGGCTGCCGACTGCTTTAGGTGTTGGTCGCCTTCATATCTGTGATGTACCAAGCAGTTGGGCAGAGTGCGCATGCATGAAGCTTTGTGCACAGGTTCTCACACCAGTTCGTGCCCATGTCAATGTGCGGGCAGGTACAAGCAGATTGTTGGTCGCGCTATCCGCTTCGGTGATGTGAAACCCGGGTCACGACCAGCGCTTGGCAACGGGAATCTTAGAGGCCACTGCCTTCGATTCTGAAGCTGCCAAGCCCTGGCCTGAGGTCGAAGCTTGCGGGTGTCGTTGTGGGTGGCGAGGCTGGGCTCTGCTGTCCGGAAAGATGTGCTACACCGGAGCACTTCTTTTTTGCAGGCTGCCTGGTGATGAATGCGCAGATGAGGCCGGAACTCGTGAGCAGGCTGAAATCACGAGTCACAAAACATCAGATTTGATGACGTCTAGGGAGGTTGCCCTGCTTTGCAGGCTCTTCTGGCAGAGCTTAGCGAACAAGGCTGCACACGGCGCCGTACGGATGCCACGAGGTTTGCTTCAGAGCTTCGGCGACGTGCTAGGTCAGGAGCTTTGCGCAGCAGAGGATGAGCTCATGACCATGAGCATCACAGGAGGCCCGAAAGAACTGTCATGTTCTAGAAGATGACCAGGGCAGCACACGAGTCAGGACGTTCTTGATGGAGGATATCATGATGCCAGAGCCGGAGGGCAAGGGGAGCCGATCCATGCCCCGACTTGCCGCGCAGGGTGTGTCCTCAGCCCTAGACCCGTGCTGTACAGAGGTGGCTTGGATCTGCGGGGGATTTCGATAGAGTTTCAAGCGAACTCTGTCGATAGTTTCGTTGTAGTTGCAAAGGGGGCCTCGGGGAAAAATCGTGCAAGCTATCGCCGCTACCGCCACCAGCAGCCAAGATCATTCATTGACATGAGTGTGGACCTCGTCTTTCAGCTTTCCAAGAAGTTAGAGTGGCGCACACCGGTCCCGGCAACACTTTAATTCCCGCGGAACCCGTTCCCCGACACGTGGGGGATTTGCAATTTTGGAGGGTTTGGGGTGTGAAGGTGTCAAAATGGTGATCCCTGGGAAACACTGTCTTGGGAGTTTTGGGTTGTGAAAGTGTTAAAATGGTGATTCAATCCGGCCCTGTGGGGAAGAGTTCTTATTTTGGAGATTCTCGCATGCCCCTTCTGCGGGTTTGAGCACCGAGCTGTAATTCCCGCGCACTCCGTCCTCTGGTATATGGGGAATCACTGTTTTCGAGGGTTTTGGCCATGAAACTTAAAATAAAGATTCTTGTAGGTCGCACTAGCCCTGCGGGGAGTCCTTCTTTTAGAGGTTTTCGCAAGAACCTTTGGCCGCAAATATTTCAGAAGATTTGATTGAGCCTTGGAAAATTGTTCGATATGAGCTCTCAACACTTCGAAGTCTATGTTGACTAGTCGAGGGGTCATAATTTACGAAAGGAAGCTTTCCTGATCAATCAAATACGGTGGTCATTTAGAGCTACGATAGGGATACTTGGGTTCGGATTTCTCATTATAGTGGTCTGATTTTTAACCTTTTGTCATATATGATATATATATATATATATATTTGAAGATCGTTAAATTATATTATCATGGAAGATAAAATCGAAAATATTACTATAAGATATATCGATTTTCTATAGAATTGAAAAATATTGAAGTAATATGAAAATCATCTGTCTGATTTATTAGGAAATATTTGAGCTACAGGCGTTGTTCTCTATACGTGGGATTAGTTTGAAGG